GGGGAGCGTGACAATCGAGGAGGTATTCACAGATATCGGAAAATTCTAAATTTTTGAAAAAGTATTAGGAGAACATGACAATCGAGGAGGTATTCGCTGAAATCACAAAATTTGAAATTTTTGAAAAAGTATCAGGGGAGCATGACAATCGAGGAGGTATTCACAGATATCGGAAAATTCGAAATTTTTTAAAAAGTGTCAGGAGAACATGACAATTGAAGAGGTATTCACAGATATCAGAAAATTCGAATTTTTTGAAAAAGTATCAGGAGAATATGAAAATCGAGGAGGTATTCGCTGAAATCACAAAATTTGAAATTTTCGAAAAAGTATCAGGAGAGCATGACAATCGAGGAGGTATTCACAGATATCGGAAAATTCGAAATTTTTGAAAAAGTATCAGGAGAACATGACAATCGAAGAGGTATTCACTGAAATCAGAAAATTCGACTTTTTTGAAAAAGTATCCGGGAAACATGAAAATCGATAATGGCGAAGTTAGATAATTTGCTTGGGCATCCGTGACGAATGTATAACTATCCCAGAGCAATCCTCAACTTCCGTTAATTCCTGACATGTGATATGCCCCTTGATTCATTCCACGACTCAATCGTGGGTATTAAAATAGTAATCACGATAACACAACGGTACTTTGCCACACAAATAGATGATCCGCGTAAATTGTTGGTACTTTTTTGTTGCATGAAATGAGGCATCGGAATTGGCTTCACGCATATAGCCGAGTTATAACAGAGTATTTCTTACCTTCTGGAATGGATATAACATTGTGTCCCGGAAAGGTCGGTTGATTGTCATTAACATCAATAACTCGGATGCTGAGTGCAGTCGTTCCAGTGAGTTGAGGATTTCCTTGATCAGTAGCAATGATGGTCAATCTGTACTTCTCTCGGATTTCCCTATCGAGAACGATGTTTGTACGCACTACTCCACTATACGGTGGGCTTATGATGAATGCATTGTCCGGATTACCGTCTACTATGTGGTAAAGAATTTTGCTATTGATTCCTTCATCAGCGTCACTCGCTGACAGCTGAAATAAATGACAGACCAATTTGTTTACTGACCAATTCGAGGTGCTCCTAATTGAGGGATTAAAAAAATAATTGGTGATTCCCCATTGCCTACCTTAACGACGAAATTTCCCTTGGCATTGCCTTCGAGAACAGTCGCCGAATACTGACTCTGCGTGAAAATCGGTGGATTATCGTTGACATCAGAAACCTTGATGACGAGCCTGGCATAAGCCTCCAATGGGTCTGGGCCAGTTGTTTTAGCAATCAATGTTAAAATTCTATTGGAACAATCACGAGAGATATCTTTGTCGGAGTGGTTATCCGTAAGATAGCGGTCATCACAATTTATCCACAATTCGGCATCGAGTTTCGATGGATCATTGACCTTTACTGTACCACTCTCCTCGTCGATGATAAATGTCTCGAAGTCATTACCAGTACCTATGGAATAAGACATGTGCTGTCGGCGTCCATCAGATCTCACAGCTGTCACCCGAATGATCTCTGTGTTGAAGGGTGAGTTCTCGGGAATTACAGCCTGGTAGGTGTCATTTTGGAACATGAGAATTGGACTGAGATCCTCAGTATCGCCGACTTTCAGTTCAATCAGCGCTGTCGAGCTCTTCGGGGGGTTCCCCCGGTCTCTGGCAATCACAGCGAGATGAACAGTTCTACCAAACTCTTGTATCAGGGTAGTGGTGGCTGTGATTATTCCAGTGGTCGGGTGAATTCGGAATTTTGGCTTGTCGACCTCGTGGGAAAAGAAGTAAGTTATTTCTCCATTGATACCAGCATCGTGATCCTTGGCCTTAACTTGAAGAATATTGTGACCAGGTTGTGTCGATGCTGCTACTGTAGCTCTGAATGGATTCGTTTCGAAAACAGGTGCATTATCATTCACGTCACTCAGATTTATTTCAATTGGTATTGATGTACTTTTAGCGTCGTATAGTCCACCGTCTGTTGCGACAACTAGAAAATTGTAGACTGCCTGACGCTCACGATCCAGTGGCCTGAACAATTATTCATAAAAGGCGTGTTAATTAAGGTGGCTGGAATAATTATCGAACTAATTTTTAAAAACGTTTTCTTCGGTTCGGTGCACGAGGGGATATTGTAATTGACGTTTTACGACATTATGAATGAGCTGTTGCTGTGTGGAGAGCTGGGAAGATGGGAATAAAAATTTGAATGGTCAGAGGGAATGAAAAAGCGCGTGTCTTGGTTTAGCATATCAGACTTTTTGCCGGGTTGGAAAATAATGCATTGAAATGCCATGTGGAGGCTGTGGAATAAAATGACACACGACTGTCGTATGAAAAAATTGTCCATGTTTATAATACCAACCCCAATGTGAAGAGAGAATTCTCAATATTTATTTGCTAACATTTCACCTTGAACACTAAGGCGGTTGTATCCCTGTGAGAACCTAGAAAGACACGAGGTGGGACAGGGCCCTAGAATGCTCTCGTCATGGGGAGAAATATCGATGGAGTGTAATAACAGTAAAGAATCGAATGTGCAGGATTATTCACTTCGCTTTTTCAATGAATTTTTACTTGAAAATTACTGGATTTCTCTGGATCATCACGCATTTTTTCCCTCTTAATATTCTATTCTGACATTAATTCCAACCATTTATTTGAAATTCTCTTCAACTTTATAAAGGAGAAATCTCTTAGCTCCATTCCAACATTGGAATTCGTGATAACGGAAATTTCATGCCAAAGTTAAGATAAAGGAGAGAATGTTTTGAAATTTATTGGAAGGGGGAATGGTTATGAGATCGACCTTCGAATCCGGTTGACATTCAGAGATTGCCGAGGAAGAAAAACGAATATATAAAAAGTTTTATAGTTTACGGAGACGCGCACAAAGTCGGAGTTTGTCATTAAGATTTCAGCCTTTATACGTTTGAAGGAGTCATTCCAAATCTCCGACTACCAAAACCGAGTGGGTTTTTTATTGTGTCGCTATCTCAATAGTTGTGGTGGTTTACGCACTTGAATTTTTAATTGTGATCACTTAATTGATAATAATAAGTAACTTTTCATTTCGAGTCAACGAACCAGCCACTTCATCACATGCATTTTGAAAATTTTATCATTCCAACAGTTGAGATTTAATATGGACGGGAGAAGGTAGAGAAAAAAAAACCGAATGAACCATCGTAAACCAATGGAAAAATCCTCTCGCTATGGATTATGCATACCATCTAATCTTATATCGCTTCTCCAGGAGAAGCGACTTAATAATTTTACAGCGACTCTTTACTTTTTTTTTTATCTCTTTTTCACATGTGCATACACACTTATTGCCAATGGGTGGGTTTAAAATTTTTCTCCCAACATTTATTTCTTTGTTCCCTTTCTATTTTACAACGCTTCAGATCTCTTCTCAATCTGAGCGTGCTTTAATGCGTTGGGAACATCTCAAGAAAGTGCAATATCCCTGATCCTAATCGGGTAATAAAGGTCGTAGCAATTAACGCCACAGGATGAAATTATATGGGGTAATCCCATGGAAGGGGCTTTTTGTGCAAGTATCGATAGAATAAGTACAGGCATAACACATCCATCTATATATTATGCATTCAGAATTAATGCATATAACATTAATGAATTGAATGCATACCAAGTGAGAATCAAAAGTCGTAAAACCATGCATGTTTTCTTCATTTTCGTTTCTCCCTTTTTTTTTCTTTCCTGTTATAATAATAAAGGCAATTGTCTTTCTTACCCAGCCGTAGTAATGACACCGGTGAGGTTGTCAACCCTGAAGAGCCACGTAGACTCCTCAGAAATGGTATACGTTATTTTGCCATTAAATCCCTGATCCGGATCGGTGGCTCGGACTGTCATCACTGAAGAGTCGGGAGGTACATCCTCGGAAATAGTTGCGGTGTATTTACCAGAGTAATTAGGATAATATTGGTGGAACGATTGAGTGAAACTCGGGTATTCCGAGGATTTGGTCAGCCTGAGGTTGTCCCGGTGGTTTGGTGCGAACGTTGGAGAATTATCATTGACATCTAGGACAATTATCGAGATATTGCAGCGGGCTTCAAGGCTGGGTCGACCTTTGTCTCTTGCTGATATTGTTAGGACGTATCTTGCAGCAATCTCGCAGTCCAAACTTGCTGCTGACAGATCTCCAGTGGCAGGATCCAGTCTGAATTTTCCACCGTCATTACCACCAATTATGCTGTAAGTTATTTGTCCATTCTTGCCTTTGTCGATATCAACGGCTACTATCGTATGGATTATCGAAATATCTTGATTCTCAGGAATAACCAGGGTATAACAAGCACCAGGACGAAATTCCGGGGCATTATCGTTCTCGTCTTCCACAATAATCTCCAATGTTGTTAAATCAAGCAATTTACTGGACTGTGCCAATATTGGCACGTGATAATATTCTGTTTTTTCGCGATCGAGGGCCCCCTCGAGCGTAACCAATCCGCTGGTGGATATTGAAAATTTGTTGGCACCAACGCCATCGGGAATGTGAAAGCTTACATTAGCTGGAAAAAAAGAAATACCAAGGGAAAGAGATAAATATTCATCACGTCTTCAGGGGATGATCCTAATTTATAATCAGGGTATGACAATCAGAATAAATAATTTGGATAAAAAAGCATATAAAAAATCAAAAGAAAACAAATTGAAAGGAAGGAGATGGAAATAGTTGGGTGTATTTTGTGCGACGAAAGACTGGCCATAAATTACAATAATTCCGACTGGTAACGTCGTAGCCGAAATCCGATCTTAGTGGACCGGCACATGTGAATGTCGTCGCAAATGGCAACATTGTAGAATATAATCCACCTCTTTGCTCTCTCAGAGTGTCCCAAACTTTTTTTTTTCTCCCTCTTGTTTCTTTGTGATTTTTTTTATCCTCTTTATTCAACGGAAAAAGACACAACAATATGTGTATATACCGAGAGGGGCCCATAGTCACAGTCAGGTCATCCGTGTGGGCTGCATGCATTTTGTTGAAACGACCAATGTGTGAACTTTTCACATACCGGAACACGAGAGGAATAGCCCGAGTGAAAAGGCTAAATAATGGCTAAATTGATGGGTAAAATGTTATACGGTTTATGATGGTAACAGTGCAGGGAATTATAGACAAATAACCATGGAGTGTTGGAATAATTGCCCGATGATTGTTTACGAGTTTATCGGTAATTGAAAAATGATTCAACTGTTGTGGATTATGTGGACAATAGGGTGTGTTGATTTTTATTTAGTGTGAGTGAAGAAAATGCTAGTATTTTAATGTATTCCATTCTCAAATTCCACGGTACGTCGTTGAGCCTGTCGTTGATTTTTAAGCGGTTTTAGACAAAGCTCATGCCGACTCGAGTGTAGCAGAGAAAAGGACTCTACCCCTCTTTGGTTTTATGTAGAAAAAGCAAAGAGGGGAATGGGACATGCTCATGCACCTTGGGTGATTTGCCTATGCGTAGCGCGGCAGAGACTAAGCCTCTCTCGCATGATGATATACGCGGCCATTGTTTTTCCTCCACCACCTCCATCCACATTTCTATTTATTCTTTTACTTTATTTATTTTATATACATATATATGGCTCTCAACATCCTGTGTTTCTCAAATAACCCTTCCCGGATACTCGACTTTGTGCCCTTGATACCAAGTCTCGACCTTCTTCAATCGATAACATCGAAATTCGATCGAATAGTATTGTGGGAAAATTTGCATTTAAATAGTATATACAATATACGCTATGTTGCAAGGAGGGAATTTAATTCAGAGTTAGTTGGTGCAATTCTGTCATTGAAGGGGAGTGTTCGCATGGCATTTGTAACAGGTTTTCTCTTTTTTATTGTCATATAGAGAAATTGAAGAAAATATTTACCGTGCTCGCCAAGTGTTGGACCCGCAACGTTGAGAATAGCTCCACCAATCGAGAGATCTTCAGAAACTCGTGCTATTGGATTAACCTGGAGGAGACGGGGTGGTCCGTTTATTCGACCGATTGCCATTGATATTGTCAGATTGAGAATGGCACGACGGGGTGGAGAGCCATGATCATTCGCTGTTATTTGGAGAACTGTGTCCTTCACAAACGGACGAATCAGTGTCACTAATCCAGATTCATATCCAACGGCAAAGCTCGACTCTTCATTCCCCGACGTAATGACATACGACACACGACCGTTGTTATCGGTGTCTCTGTCCACAGCTATAACTCTCACGATATTAGCACCGGTATGAACATCCGGTGTTACGGATATTTTTGTACTATTCGGTGCAATGAAAATTGGATCATTATCGTTTTGATCCATCACTGCTATTTTAGCTGTGACGGTGGTGGCAAGTCGTTCGGAGATTGGCGCGTCGTCAGTTGCTCTCAACAAAAGTGTATACTCACTTCGCTCCTCTCTGTCCAACATTTTCACTGTTGTCAGTGCACCAGTGAGTGAATCTACGGCAAATGTACCAGTGGCTGGAAACTCAGATACGAGATCGTAACGTAAATCTCCATTGGCACCAGCATCGACATCGTTAGCAGTCAAATTATAAATAGTCAAGCCAATAGAAGAAGTCTCAGCTATTCTGATGAAGATGGGATCTTGTGGCCACTTGGGGGGATTATCGTTGGCGTCGTCGATGAAGATTCTAACAGATACCGCTATACTCTGGGGATTTCCGATGGATGTTGTATCGAGGGCTCGGATTTCCATATGATATTCACTAACATTTTCCCTGTCCAAGGAGTGAGCCACGACAATCTGACCAGATGATCTGTCAACATCAAAGGCAGGATGTAGAGTCAAGGGAGTTAGTGATGTGAGAGTGTAGGCGACTCTTCCTGCTGGTCCTGCACCGGAGACTGATCCTACGGCTTGACCGATCCTAGCATCCTCTCTCACGTGAAAACTCAAGCTGCTACTTGTAAATGTCGGCCTGTTATCCGCTAATGCAAGAACCTCAACACGGAGAACCCGAATGCTATGTCTCGGTGGTCTACCTGCATCACTTGCCTTCACCGATACCCTGTAGACATCCCTCTCTTCATGATCAAGAACATATTTTGTCCTGATCATCCCAGTTATTGGATCTATCGTGAATACATTGTAGCCATCTGAGTCTCGGTCTTTCAAAATGCTGTACGTCATCGTGGCATTTTCACCAAGATCAGCGTCTAAGGCTCGGACTCGAGCGACCTCGGTACCCAAGGGTTGCTCTTCCCGAACGCTCACAATATCCCCTTGAGGATCAACGATTTCAGGTGAATTATCATTAACATCGAGAATTGATACACGAAGAGGTACTCGCGCCGCTCTCGATGGACTCCCGTGGTCTCTAGCTTCTAGGACTAGCTCATGAAGACTCCTCAACTCACGATCGAGGGGCTCTCTCGTTATTATCTCACCTGAGGAAAAAATAAATAGAAAACAAAAATACATAACAGTTTTACAGATTTTTTTCGGAGATTCTGCGGATCGTTAAATGATATATACCACTGTTCTGGGAATTAGTAGAATAAGTATGAATTCTCTCGGAGTTGAAATTTTCGGTGAATGTCATTTATGTTTATAAATGTCGGGAGAACCAATGTTGTCCCATAATACAGGGAGAGGTAAGAATAAAAAATACAGTGGAAGAAGGGTAGTAGGACGCCCGCTAATGCACTTTTCGTGTAGTCGGGTTTTACTATAGTCTTTAAAAAGTTCCTTCTCTCATTCCTTTTCAATATTTGAACATGTCTCGGTATTCGGTGGAGAATAAAACTTTCTACTGGCCAACTTTTTGTCAAACAATAAGCTCGGGGAAATGATGATAAAGCCAGACAAATTGGGTAGTTCACTCTTGTCTTTGAGTCTTTAAATTACGGCTATAAATTTGATTGACATTGCATCTTTCATGTATTTTCTTATCCCACCCGGCCCACTTTCCTCATATTGTAATGTATTCTCATTCACGACCTACAAGAGAAACAAGTCTTTGTGCTCATACTCATATTTTTTTGGAAAACAATTTCTCATCATATAATCTCCATTCAATTACAGCGCCGACAAGACACGTACAAAGTGGGGGCAGCAGTATTTAATGTAAAAAATATTCCCATCGAATATCAATCAATCGTTGATTCAATTGTTGATTATTAGGGAAGCACTACTTTCGAGCACAGGGTAACAAAGAGAAAAAAGTAACAATAGATCATAATGTATACATAAGTGTATGAGATTGACGCAATAGGGGAGAGCAAAAGCGTAAATTATAAACGTGTCTCAAAGCCTTTAGATAGAGGCTAGTGGCTATTTAGAAAATTAATAGTCTTATATACCCATCTCTACGGCACCTCTGTAGTACCCAATGCCGAGAAGGTCCTTGATCAATCTATCTTCCTTCCTCGACCTCTCGCGGGAATTCCCCCTGCCTCTTCCTACCTTTCTTTCAAATATACGCAACACACACGAACACATACACCCAAGTACCTCAAAACGAATTCCGATCGCGTCGTTAAACCCGTCCGCAAGAGGGTGGTGATCCCATGCAGGAGGCAACGAGGAGAAATAAAAAAATTGAAAAAAAAAAGTAAAAGACGAAGGAAGAAATGAAAGAAGAGTGAAACCTGTGAGGATGAGGTTTTGAGTTGATGCACCCCGCCTCAGTAGAATATAATGGGTATATCGGATTATTGCAGATGGGCTCATCCGGCTGCGACGAATCGCTCGTGAGATTACTTCCGCGGAGTAAAGGCCTATGTGCGCGCGTGAGTACTGATTTAGTTAATGATTAAAAGAAATTTTCGAGGGCGCGTGGAGACGACGGAATTGAATGTGCGTGGGAGCCCGGAGGAAGGACTTTGGTGAAAAGATACACTGAGAGAAGTTGTCCCAGTCAGTGATAGTTGGATGATGAAGGGAAAGGAGAAAAAAAAAATAAAAAACTCACCAGTGTCGGGATCGATGGCGAAGCTGCTGTTGTGCTGAACGACAGTGTATCTCAGCAAAGAATTTTTTCCAAGATCAGGATCAGAGGCAGTGACAGTACCAACTAATGTACCGGATGGTAGATTCTCGAGGAGTTGGAATGAATAAAAATCCTTGGTGAAGCGGGGACTGTTGTCATTGTCATCGAGGACTGTTACTAAAACTGATGAAGTTGCTGTTGCTGGTGGACTACCATTGTCAGTAGCTAGTACTGTCAGTGCGTAACGATCTGTTGTTTCACGGTCTAGGGTTTGAGTGAGGTATATCCATCCTGTGTTTGGACTGATGCGAAATGATGATGAGCCTTGAAGACGATAACTGATTCTCGCATTGTTACCGGTATCTAAATCAAGCGCTGTCACTTGTAGAACCTGCAGGGACAATAATTCAAAAAAATGCATTCCAGCAGCGTCAACCAATTGGAAGGGCTTGTCCAAATTTTTAATATTTATATGATTGTGAGAAGTAGTTAAAGTGCAAAGGTCGAATAAGGACGGGTTTCCTGCTTGTCCCGGATGAAATTACGCATCCAAGGCTCGTCTAGAGTAGTTGAAAGATATATGGGAAAGAAGGGAAAAGGGTAAAAGGAACGGTTAAAACGCTCGATCTATGGGCATAAGGCCCCTGTTAACTACACACTATTCTATCTTCGTTTAACGTTCAACTCCCAGGTGTATATACTCTTCTTATGTACGCCTCTTTCACCCTGCCTCTATTCATTTACTTTTATTACCGCGTTACTTGGCTCGTTTGAGCGGACGACAAAAAAAAATTAACGTTTATTTTCATTTATTTATTTAATTTTTACGTCTTCTTTATTTATTTTTTTTATTTTTAACTCATCCAGGGATAGATATCGCTGGCTATCCTCTCGATAAACAAATGCGAGCATGATGGGCGTGTAATGAAGATTTTTCTCACCTGTGAATCGAGCTTGGCGCCTTCGGGAATCTCAACGTGATACTCGTTTCTTTCGAACACCGGGGGGTTGTCATTCACATCTTGAACCTCAACGCTGAGACTGAGATTTGCTGAGAGACCACCACCGTCTAATGCACTTATCAGTAGAGTATGGCGCTGCTGTGTCTCGTAATCCAATCTACGGATGAGATATAATTCGCCGTTATGGGCATCGATGCCGAAGAGATCGTTGCTGTTTTGGGCCAGTATGTAGCGAATTGGTATCGGGGGAATGATGTCTGGATCGTTTGCCTGTGCAACGTACAATGCTGCATGCAGAGGATGGGACTCGGCTACTGATATCCGTACACTCGGTGTCGAAAATGATGGAGGATTGTCATTGACGTCTTCAATGTTCAATTCCACCTGGCAATAACCGATGCCAACGTCATTTCGCAAGCCTACGGACAGCATGTATTTGTCCTTCGATTCTCGGTCGAATGATATTCTCGTACGGAGTACTCCGGAATTCGGATCGATTGAGAATTCATGACCACCCGTTGCCAAGAAAAATTTACTCGCTCTAGAACCTGGAAACATGACAAAATAATAGTCATTATCGGTACAGATGTTTTCAATTGGATAAAATATATACGTGAGCATTGAGTACAGATTCATTCATCGAGTCGCCTGTGGAGACAGCAAGATTGATGATGATCTTGCATCAAAAGTTCATTCTACTAATTGCTGATCGATCCCAAAAGCTAATTTGTAGCGTCAATGGCTACTTTGTAAAAGTGTCCCCAGTGGTGGCTTGGAGGACCAGTTTGTCCTCCAAATCACAAATTTCACAATTTTTTCCTTTATTATTACCAAAACGGTAGCAGAACCGATTACTCTCTTCTTGAGTGAATAACCGAAAACGGGTGTGTCTCACAAAATGAAGAAATAAGGAGATAAAAAGACGAAAAATAAAGGAAAAATTTTTCGAGGCCTCCGAGTCTTACCTGGGATACACGTTCTTGGGAGTCAACACCGAGTTATGTTAATTGAGCTTGGAATATTCATGGATAAGGTCGGGAGTAACTTGCGACGGGGGGATTGGGAAAAAATTTCACTGCTTAATCGTTGCAGGCCTTCGTCTACCAAAAAACATAGTAAAAAAAAAAAGGATAAAAGTTAAATAAATAAAATGAAGGGGGGAAAAAAAGTAATGCTCGGTGGCTTATGAAGTTGTACACCTTGAGTAAGTACCTCAAGGGTAACTTGAGTGTCGACAAAAAAAAAAACCGACAAACATTTTGCGAATGCATCCATCATAATCCCATCAATCATAAAAGTCGCATTTCCATTTATTTGCAAGGATAATAGTGAGTACTTAACATATCCACACTTGGAGATGGATTTGTTAAAACGGCCCTTGCACCCTTATTGCAGTACGTGCAAACGAATTAATGAGGTAATAGTAGTTTTATTATGATGACTTGTTTTTGGCGGATGTTGATGCTATTCGGCGGCAAAATGCTCATCGTGTTACTTGGCACAACGAGTTCGTACTTACCTTCTCCTGTCCGCCCACATATCGTGTACCACGTTAGACGAGCGTTAAAAAACCTGTAGGAGCCAAGTGAATTCCACCTCACGAGCCCCCAAATATAAAAGTTAAGTGATCTTTGACTGATTTACAGAGAGAGAAAGCCTGCGGTGCTATTATACCGATCCTACACAGAATTATCCCGGATATATCGAATATTTTCTCATCCATTGAATAATTGTTTTTCCCAAATATCGATGTCATCCAATGTACGTGAAATTTGCATGGCGTCGGCACTTTGGACACGATTCATTACCTCTTGGGATTTCTCCGGTGAGTATTTATCGGCCAAATAAATTACAATTGCGCGCGACCCATGCGTTCTTCCCGTCTTTCTGCGTCGTCGTGTATATGAAACGGCTGGTTGAGTATATATAAGATACAGCGAATGAAAAAAAAAAAGAAGAGGAGGGAGAAAAAAAGGTAGGTAGTTATTGAGCATGAAGAATAAATGAGAGAGAAGGAGAGGAATGATAAGTTCCCCCCGGGGTGCCCATGTGGGTGTAACGAAGACAAATCGCTTGCAAATTTCTGATGATTCGAAAAATTGTCCTTCCACTTATCTATTGTGGGGGTGATGAGAAAAGCGAAATTTTTTCACGCATTGCCATTGGAATTGGCATTGGCATTGGCATTGGCATTGGCTTCGGGGAAATGAAAAAATCATTTTAAAAACCAGAAAACAAAATTGGAATATCGGAAAAATTTGATGGGAAGGGGTAAATATGTATTCCAAAAATGTTCACTAAAAATTAATGTGGGAAACAGTGAATGAGAACAATTGTAATGAATCCATTAGGAGGAAAAAGTGGAATGATATAATTTGTTGTGTGGAGAGGCGCTAAGTAGTGGCGCTGATATTGATATCCGATACGAAGGATTGAACCGCATGGCACGTTGATATAGCCATAAAGTTGGGGGGCACTTGAAGGGTTACAGAGCAATGTAGGGGAAGGAGAGGAGGGAGAGGAGGGAGAGGAGGGAGAGGAGGGAGAGGAGAAAGAGGAGGGAAGGAGAGAGAGGAGGTATTGGGGGTTAAGAGAGGAAGGTGAGGACGTATATATAAGAGGAACGGGATAGGACCCCCGTAGGCGACAGCGTGCCTTTATCCGATGTATCGCTTCTTCACCGCATTCATTGCGTCGTCCACTGTTTTAACTTGCCATTCTAAAAATTCCCTCCATACCTCTCTACGTTCATATATTTTTCTCTCCTCATCGTTGCTCCAACCGTTCAGTCTATCATCATTATTTAATTATGATCATTGATCATTTGGCTGTGCCATTCCTCAGCGACACTCATTTCACATTCACTCGAAACCCGACTCGATGGAATGTCCATCTTCATAATTTAACTGGCCAGATGGAATTTTCTCGTTATATACTTTGGAGAAAATTCAAAGTTGAGAGCGAATTAAATGTAAGATTGAATATTTCAGATAGGAAATATACGGAGGAGTGAAAAAATGGGGGAATTATGGCAATAGAAGTGATGATAGTGTAGATAAGGGGAGCCCAGGGACCATAAAAGATAAGAGGGTTGGAGGAGGCATCAGCCTGGTACTATTACACCTGGTTTTGCACGCGTTTCTCAGCCCATCTACTTCTGTACTCTCTATTCACATATATTCTTGCAAGGGGGTATTATAATGGTATATTGCAACGCTCAGCCATCGACTCCATAGGTGTATGTACCACTCTCATGACAACTATCGATACACAATCTTTCTTTAACAGTACAACGCACAACATCATGTTGGTTTAGTTTTGTGAATTTATTGATAAATAATCCTGGGAGTTTCAGGCGATAGTGACAGACTTATGAAAATTGTGGAAAAATTGTGGAAAAATTGTGGCGAGTGAAAGGAGAAGGAGACTTGTGCATGTATGATAATACCAGGTGGCTCCCCACGATGTGGTTCGTTCTCCTGGCACCCCTCTACATCATTTTCGACGGTTGCTGTTTATTGCCGGATGCAAATCCTGACTCGCGCGCGACCCCATGCCACCGTTCTCACTGAGATCATTATTTTTTCTCACATTTTTCTTACGTTCCGCTGAGAAATATGTGATTCGTGCATAGAGTTGAATCAATTGAGCAGTTGTAGAAGCACCAGTAGGCCAATAGAACTTATCAATAAACTTGTGAGAATGGAGGACAATCGGAAAAAATCGACTGAGTCTATTTATTGAGTATTGAGGGGTCTGCTTGACGAGAGTTTCAATTGTATTTTCAATATGTGCTGAGACAAGACAATATCCGCAGAAATTGGAGGAGAAAAAAAAATGTGATACTGAGGGGAGCTCTGGAGAGCAGCAGGTGAGTGAAATGACAGTTGAAAAAGAAAGGGTTTTTTGCACTTTTTCTGCTGGTGGTGGTAAAAAAAAATGGAAAGAAGAATAAATGGGATAAAGGTACGAATGAAAGAAAAAGAGAGTACGGTGAGAGTGAATTTCTTGGAATGGAGTTACGCAAATTAGAGTGGGGTTTGAAGTTGGGGAAGCGCACGCGGGCTCTGTGGGCCCTATCGCACAGTGATCTGCCGGTACGAAAGAGAAGAAAAAAAAAAAAGATGAGTGAACGAAAGAGAGAGGGATTTTAGATTTGCTTCGAATGCATCCTCTCCTTTATATATGAAATGGCCTCTACTTGTACGCTGCGCGTTGACTCTGTCGGACCGCAAGTGGAGTCCCAAAGAAATTTGCAAGTCCCGGTGAAAGCACCAGGAGTTGCCGCTGCAGAGAACCATGAAAGATATGCAGTCGCAAGTCGTATATAACAGTGTCTCTTTTACTCTTATTCCTCCATTTTTTTTCTTTTTCCTATCTTTTTTTGTTGGTGCAGGGAGGGAGGGCGAAGAATTGCGAAAGGCATGCCAAAGGAGGCATTGATCAGCTCAAGACCTCAACTGATTTCTATCGTGTTAACTTTATGAAGACAAGTGTAATTCCGCATGAAAGAAGAAACGGAAATTTTCGAGGGAGAATACATCTGTAATGAGATGAAACGACAATACTATTGCCAGATCTTCTATTCCCAAAAAAAAAGGTAAATAGGAGAGAATTCAATGAATTTATCATGCATATGCGACGAGATTATGGCGTATTATGGTGCGGCATAATTGCCACTGATTTGGTTAATTAGATATGAAAAAAAAAACAGCACTTTGTTTAATGTTGTTTGTTCATTCCGAGTGATCCAATGAGACAGAGATCTGGTCATTGTTAAAGCGAGCAGATGGGAATGGACGTGGGAGTATCAAATGAGGAAAGGAACATACGGTTAGAGTTAAAGGGATACAGACAGGGTAAGGTCGCATAAATCGTCGTCGCTCGGATTCCGGGCAGCTTCTCTCCATTGTCCGTTCTGTTGACTCTTTTTCCCTCTTTTTTTTTTATCCACCGCTTTTTTATTTCCTCCATCTCTCCACCTTCTATCCACCTCACCAACCGTCTTTTGCATACGTATTCAATATCTCTCCTTTCTCACAGACAAAGGCAAAATTATTTTCTTATCTTTTAATGCAATTTTTACCTCCACTGGCCTCCACTACCTCCACACTTAATTGTACTTTCACAGCGTTAACAGCGTACCGCATAACATTTTCACTTGGTCTACGATAGCTGAGAATTTTTTTTTCCAACTGAAAATAGCGAGAGAAAGGTCGATTGATTGGTGTATGCAGCATATGCATCGTTTAGTGCTAAAGTCAACTGTGACACGGTATATTCTCCTTAGAATTTCACTTCAGTCTTTTAAAATGCGAGGATACACGTGCGGGAGTGAATGAAAATTAATATTCACGTGAAGCTACCACGGAGAAGAAAATACTTTAATCGTCAATATTTTATGCTTGATCCTAGTATATTCCCCGGTATATCAAGATACCGTCATTATTTTTTTCTCCAAACACTAATATTTTAATTAGTCTCATTACATGTACTGGGCTCTGCTTTTGGTATCTTTAAAGAAAAACTGGAGATATTCCATTAAAATTCAAAATCAATAATTTTCAATATTAAATTGTTCGTAATGTTTCAGTCATTTATGAATCATTGGTTGTACTTGCTGAAGATAAACGTTTTTGTGTTATTCAATGGATTCATAATAGATATTAGAATCGTGGGAAAATGAATTATCGTAGATATTACTATTGAAAATCGAATACACTAGGATGAATGACGTTTTCTCCCGTGAGTGATATTTAGATGAATTTCACTGGCTCGAGTGGATGGAGCTAGCTGGCACGTGATAAAAGTGCACATCATTAACACTAAGTTGAAGAAATAAAAAATAAGAAGGTATATATACGGATGAGAAAGGAGTCGTGGAAATAGGAATAGCATAAGGGAGTTGTAGGATTTAGAGTAGAGTTTACACGGTAAGCGGAGGTATAAGCCATAGGTCGTGACGCGCCGTATCTTACATCGGATGTACCGCCAGTGTGGAAACACGGATACGTGCCCCCTCTCATCTTTTACCATAGGCATCTCGCCTCCTGTGTGTTCCAACGCAAAATCCATGTCTCGTACTTTCTACACCTTTTAATATTTCCTTCAGTCTCTCTATGCTCTCGAAATAACGAAAAAATACCGAGTCCTTGACGAAACTTTGGGCATTCCAAGTTGCAGCACGCGCAAATTCTCATCTCCCTCATTCATTCTCTCTCCTCTGTCATATGATTTTTATTATTATTATTTTTCCGCTGTTTGAATAAGAAATCAAGAATCTTTAAGTCAGCTTGTTTCGTGACGTGAGTATGCTAAAATGGCTCGTGGAATACGTTTAACAATGCCAGAGAGACATTAGCTCGCTCACGAACAATGAAATTTTTGAAATACAGAGCGACTCGCTCTTTTGTCTCAATTCACTCACTCTATTTCCATTGATTCTCATATGTACATACCAGAACTGGATTCAGTCGACTCCTTAATGTCTCCGATGATGCTGTTCTGGAGGACATTCTCCTTGGCGATAATGAGGTATCTGGGCCTCTGGCAAATTGGCAAGTGTTGGCCCATTGATATTGCTACGCGAATACTCGCATCTAGAGTACTCTTGAGACCTGCAGCATCCGTTGCGGTCACGTTCAATTGGTGCAACGTTGATCTCGATAGTAAACTTGGTCTCGCCACTTGCAGCTCACCACTTGTTCGATCAATTCTAAACAGTCCACCCTCGTTGCCACTGATTATTCGATAAGCAATCTGGCCGAATAATCCACCATCCAAATCCATCGCTGTGACCTTCAATATTGTACCAACAGCGGATGAATCAGCGCGAATCGTCGTATTGTATTGGAGGGGATTGAAGATTGGACGGTTATCATTAACATCGTTGACTGTTACTCGTACTATGGTAGTTGTGCTGAGGCCACCTGGAAGCCAACATGGAAAATTGAAAATTTGAGTAATTTTTTACTATTGTTGGGTAATAAATGGAATAAACGATTCGTCTTATGATTATGTGGGGGAATCATGTGGGAATGGTGAAAGATGGAATTGGTTGCACGTTTGAATTATTGCATTGGAGCGTATTAGTTCGCTCTGCGGGAGCGGACCATTCCTCTTGGTGGTGTGTAAGGGCGTGTACGTAAGAAAAAGAGCTTCGTCCAAAAAATCCACATTAAAAAATGAAGAAAATGAATGAAAAAAGAATATAAAAAGCAAAAAGTCGAGTAAAATAAATAAATGAAAATAAAGGAGTAAAATTGCATGGTTGATTGGCTTGGAAAAAAATGCCCAGACGAATACTTCTCTCAGTGCAACACCATACCGTCGTGATTTATGTTGTAACTGGCTCAGGGCAAATGTTCGATTGCTTATACTTGCTCCTCTCAATGATCTTTTCAAATGAACTCGCATTATTAAATAAATACTTTGGCAATTCCATTGTTTCATCAATTTAAACTCTCTCTTATACTCCGCGCAAGCCATCAGTTTGAAATTTGAAATATTATCGGCTGTAATGATATGCAAATTCAATACAATATTGTATGACTGTTGGTTTTTGCAACAAGTGGTGAAAATAAGAGGATTTATCGGAGAAATGTTAAATTCCGTTTGGGATCAATTCCAAGTCATTGTAACATATCCCGTAAGGGCAACACTGAGAATCTTGCCGAGTTTCAAAATACCGCCTTGCAAATACATAACCTGGCGAGACATAAATCATACAGCCTATTACAGAGCTACTACTAGATGTTGCGAGCCCGATAGCCGCACACCGCACTCTGCGTTTTCCCTGTTTTTTTTTTCTTTTTATCTCCTTCTACACTCTACCTTTACCTCTGGTTATTCTCTATTTTTACTATTCCATTATTTTTATTCCCCATTTTTATTTCTTATTTTCGTTTGCATTTTGTGTATCATGTGAAGCGATCGTTTTAATAATATTAAAACCACTTGTGATGTTTATTCATATTTTCTTAATGGAACATTGATTATAAGACTGGGAAATGCTAAGGGGGAGTGCATACAAACCTCTATCTGTTGCAATAACTGGTAGCTCCAAGTACGGGGCTACCTCACGATCTAATGGTGATCTCACGCAGATCTCACCGGTGTCACTTCGCACGAAGAGCTGTTCATTCGCTAGTCGGCCAGCTGTCGTCAGGGTATAGTTTACCATCGAGTTGATGCCACAGTCGGGGTCCGTTGCTTCAACCTACAACAGAATTCAAATAATCATCACAGTAATTAACAGTTAACTTTTATGCTTCAATTGCAATGATTCTTGTGCAATCCATAAAAACAACGACTACTAAAAACTTCTGGGCACAGTAAAAACATCATTAAAAATTCATTACCCCTGGAATGGGTAATTTCTTTTTTTTTGTTAAGGGAGAGGAGAGATTAATTTCCTTTGTTGGATATTTTTTTTCGTGGTAAATTGACTGGACAGTATGCGGAACACCCAACGGGCTTCTTCAATTTCTCTTAATGTACGCCGAAACGTGAACATTTCGGATGGGACCATACATAATATCCACGGTGACTAATTTCTCAGGCGGCTACTCCAGTGGAGATACAGGCCAGCATCATTGATGATGGGACTTGGCGAAAATTCAATGTTTCAATGGAAGAACCGCGCATGATTTCACGTGGGTAGCCAGATGGTTTTAATGGGGAATTCCCGGAGATGGATCTCTTGGATTGTGAAATTAAAATAATGAACATTTCAATTTTATTATAAAGAAATAATTTTCGAGTTTACTCAGTCAATACTCAAGGGGAGCTGAAACCAGATTAGGTATTAGGGACTTAATTTTGGGACTTTCAGGATAACAAGATTTCCACCCCCTCACAGGGGTTTTCCGTTTCCCTTGATCATGTAATAATAAATATAACTTTATATCCGCGAAATAGAAGACTGTGTGGATATTCTCCTTTCCACTTACTGGTACCACTAGAATAAAATAGACAATCTATCCCAAAGTGGAAATATAAAGAATAAGAGGGGAAAATGAAATTTCGTAATTGTGGCAATTTCCAAAATGCCAGCAGTATCTGCTAATATTTTCCCTCCTCGTGTATATATAAGTGTATTGGCTTTTGGACAATTTTATTTCTTTGATTAGGGGTGAAGAAACTAGTTTTACTCGAAGGATGAAGGAAAAACCGACACGCGAGATAATAAAGGAGGAGTCCGTGGGGCATGATTTAGTGTCGGCTGGTCGAATAACTTTCCCGCCAACACTGTTGCCACCTTGAGAAGAGGCACGAGGTAAAAAGACGAAAAAAAAAGCCAAAAAGGCAAATAAATAAAAATGAATAATGCTGCGAGTGTGTGTTGATGGGTTTAAAGGAGTATGTAATGTTGGTTGGAACTTATTAGGAGAGGGTACTGTACAGTGGGTACTGCAGTGCTGCAATGAATCGAGTAATCATGCTAATGAATTACTGTCGCACAGTATCGATTCCGATCTCACCCGAGCTAATTCGATGCCCCTCGAGGGTACTATTGGCTTCTCCTGATTTCAACAGTCGAAATACTATCTACTTACTCTCTCTTGCCCTTTTATACTGCATACCTATTTCGACACCTCATTTCTCTTATATAAAATTTTCCTTCAAGGTACTCGGTACAAGAGCAATGAATTCCTGGGAAAAAAAATAGTAATAATAGACTCTTCGTCTTGTAACAGCTCAGAATGGCCTGATCTTGATTTTTTTGCTCAAAGGGATGGATAGAGCTGTTGTACTGCTCTTCAAGTGAGTCAAGAAGCCATCCGCGGTATTCCCGGCTCGCCAGTTCAAACTGACAGTCGTTCATGCTCCTTTTACTCTACTCTACTTCACCTCTCTTTATTTTCCGCCACAGAGAAAAACATATTTCTTCCCCTTTTCATTCCTTTTCTCTCCATCCACCTTCTCCTCCTTTATTTCATTTTATCGTCATTTTTTTGCTGCCAAGTCTTGCAGAAATATCATTGCCTTTATACCACAGGATATTTTCGTAATATTTCGATATTATTTAGACAACATTCGACCTGAGGATTCTATTTAATACTTTAAATCCAGTGCTGTACGTTAATAAACCCATCCAACCAATACATTAGCATACCAAAAGCCATTTTTTTTTTTAATCAATTTCTGAGAAAAGCTGTTGATTGAATTTCCTTGGTGAGCAACAAAACGAGTTTGGAGTAACGAATTACAAGTTGTGTTACTATTCATCGATGGGAGTATCGATGTACGTGGGTGAATTAAATGCACAAGACATCCCCCCACCAAAATGGCTATTCAATGAAAAATAATGTATTGACAGTCGATGGAGATAATGGGAGGGGGTATCGCCCACACAAGGTACATTGGAAAATTAACGAATTAAGGATGAGTGAAGGACAGAAGAATAAAGATGGATGTACGGGTAAGTACAAGTCGAGATGTGTATAGTTGTACTGAATGCGGCTGTCATAGTGTGGCTTTGCTTGAACACGAGGTTGCAATGTTAAAATAGATCTTACATGAGAAACTGAGAGAGAAGTGGTGACTCTCTGGCGGAAGGAAAGATAGAATGGACGACGCTACCATCCCACTGAACTCCATAGAGCCGTCACTCAATCGTCCACTGCATGTGAAGCATTAACTGTATTCTCATTTTTATTTTTCATCTTTATTTTCTTTTTTACCTCCTCCATTTTCCATTGTCTCAGTGCTTTTTTACATATATCCCTGAGTTCAGAAAAAAAGATCGTGCAAACACTCTCCGCTTAAATGCTACATCTCCAAGTTTTAAATTTTTACCCACCTGAGACTGAATCTTTCCAAATTTTGAATAGATTTTTAGATTTTCATTTGATGACCTTTTTGCTTAACTCATGTGATATATAGAGCATCATATTTTAAATAAATGAAATATACCGCTGGATGGAATTCTTTGCAGTGCGCCGGTAATGACGTAAAATTAATATGAAATAATAGCTTGACCTTTGAACCTTGATTTTTTAATTCTTTCAACTGGAATTTTTGAAATGTTAGTTACAAGAGGGTGAAGGGACATATGCGGGGAGCCCTTGGGCAATTGCAATGAGATATGGCCGCCAGTTCTCATTAAAATAGTTTAATATATATTTGTCAAGCTATCGCCGCACGAACGCCAGGCATATCCTGCCGAGCGTTTATATTATTTCCTTCTTTTTTTTTCCTCCGTCATCTCCATCCGGTTTATTTACATTTTATGCAATTTTTCCCTCTAGCTTTTTAATGTTCTTATATTCAACGATCAGGTTGCCGCCATGACTTGAATTTCATTGGGCAATTGATCATCAGTGAGAGATGCCACTTGAAGGATTGGAAATGAGAGAGAAACATCTGTTTCAAGAGCTGTAGGTTGGAATGAGGGAAGTTAAGGGAGAAATGGAATTTACCTTGACGTAAAATTTTCCAGGTAAGAGGATGCTAGCATTGAAATGACAAAGTTAAAGAGAAAAAAAAAAGAGAGAAAAAAAAAGTCGGACAGGGCGGACACTAACGAGTACAACGCGCGAGCCAGATCTTATTGCTGCAAGCACGCGATCTGTTCCCCATTGCGATGATATCGATCGTACCGATTAATAATCACAACCAAGTGTGGATTCTCGTTATACACCTTGTACAGAGGAACTTTCTCTTGTTCGTCAACTAGTGCAAATTTATAGTGCTGTATGTACTTGTCACTCTTGCAAAGATAAAAATAATAACGGTGTATATATACTCATACATAGAGTCATACATAGAGTCATACATATCGTAGGATGAAAATGTAATGAAGAGGCGACTTGTTGTGTATACCAATGTGAAACCCATGCAACCAAGACGACTTATCTTGAGAGATTACCGCGCAATTCAGTGTAATTTGTCGGCGGCTCCTATTGCACTATCTTCCATAGCCCTTCCTTTGTACCCCTCTTTTCTCTATTATCATTGATATACCAATCCGGCTTTGCTTTTACAACTCTTTACCCATGATTCGTTGAAAAATTATAAATTAATATTGAGATGATCGAATTTAAAATGAAAAATCTAATGAAACGGTGACGAGACTTGAGTTGAAGTCGAGGCCGGTCCTTAAGTGGCAGGTGCTTGAGATTCTCAAGCAATCGCTTGCACAGAAACTTATACGAACGAATGGAAAAACAAAAAGGTTGAGTTTGAAGGGGAGAAGATAAATGAAAGGAGATGGAGAATAACCAGTGTATCTTTGTCTGACTCATGGTAAATTCATATGTACTATCGGGTTAAGCCGAATGAGTGTTGTTCTTGTGGCTCAAGACGACTTTTGCCGAATTATTTTGAGCTCTCCGCTTTCTCCCCTTCTAGTGGAAACTTATGCACCCATTATCCGCACCTGTATGTACCCTCGACACCTTCACCACTGGCATTATTTATCCATTCCTCATATTTTCGTTGTACTATTAGTTCATGCGACTATCATAAGACTATCATAAGACTATCATAAGACTATCATAAGACTATCATAAGACTATCATAAGACTATCTCACAGGACTCCCTCTTTCTTGTCTCACCGATAATCGTTGGAGTTAATTAGAGTGGAAGATGTAGAGAAGTGGTACGTAATACGAAAACGCAATGGAGGCATGGGAATGGGTTATACCGGCGTGAACGGTTCAAGCTACTGCGGCATAAGGGACAAGGCAGCAACAAAAAAAAATCAGAATGAGGGAAAAAAAAAGAGGAATGTAAGACAAAATGAGCGAGAGGGGAATTGGAAGTGGATGAAGGAGGAGGCGCTGCGAGTTTGCACGTGCGTGCGATCATCGCGCGCCTCATGCGGGACTCCTCAAACGATTCCTTTCTCGCGCAATTATGAAACCACCTAGGTTGTGATTCGACTCATCTTCTTTTTCAGGGGAAAACATTTTTTTCCATCTCTCAAATCTCACTATTTCCCGCACCCTGATTGACTCGCTAAAATCCCCGAAAAATATATATTTGGAAAAATTGGGATGGGGCCGTATCAGGATCGAACTGGCGCAGACAACTTTGTCATTCGGATTTGCTCTGATTTTAGTTTATTATTCCACTTTTATTCTGGTATATTTAGACAATAATACCAGGACAAAAATAAGAATTTTAGATTTGGTTTGGGATGTTACATTCATTCACACGAAATTAATGAATGACGAATATGATCATCCAAAAATTTCTCAATGAAAATTCTT